TCCTGAGCCTGAGAATGGCCCGCACCAAGCAGACCGCCCGCAAGTCCACGGGAGGGAAAGCCCCTCGCAAGCAGCTGGCCACCAAGGCCGCCCGCAAGTCCGCCCCTGCGTCAGGAGGCGTCAAGAAGCCCCACCGATACCGCCCCGGCACGGTGGCCCTGCGGGAGATCCGTCGCTACCAGAAGTCCACGGAGCTGCTCATCCGCAAGCTGCCCTTCCAGCGCCTCGTCAGGGAGATCGCGCAGGACTTCAAGACGGACCTGCGGTTCCAGAGCGCGGCCATCGGGGCGCTGCAGGAGGCCTCCGAGGCTTACCTGGTGGGCCTGTTCGAGGACACCAACCTGTGCGCCATCCACGCCAAGAGGGTCACCATCATGCCCAAGGACATCCAGCTGGCCAGACGCATTCGGGGCGAAAGGGCGTAGACTGACCAGAGGCCCGGGAGGAGGCGGAGGGCGCGGCGACATGGGTCGTCGGCGCTTCTCGAGGGGCGCCTTCCTGCCCAGTTAACAATTTCATATCCCGGATGTTTGCTGATCATGCTCGCTTTCTAATCTTCGATTTGTTAAATGTATTTATAGTCTTCCTCTTGTTATTCGCTTCATGTATATGCGCTTTTTTGTGTGTTTTCCGACATATCAAATTATCAGATTTGAAGTGTATCACGGTCTATGGTATCTTCCTGATTATTCTAGTAAAGAAATATTTACAGGAATTTATTTGATTCAGCCTTATATACATATCGGTTCTGGTGAAAAAAATGTGTGTATGTACACACACATGCTCAACTTTAGACACTGCGAGTTAGCATATCAGAATAACCGATGGAAAATGATCTGAGAAATTAAATATGCATGTTTATTTGTCTAACTTATAGCAATGTCTCTCTTACATTTAAAGTATAGTTTGCACACAAATGTTCAACCTTGTCATAGAAGCCACACCAGAGCTGAATATTTACATAAATACACAATGCCGTCTAAACAAAACAAAACAAAAAAATGTACACATGGAAACTGAAAACGCTAAACAGTGAAATGAAAGAAAATACAAAAAAAAAAAATGCTGGAAGACAATACGATTTTTTTTTTTTTTATAAAGTTTACAGATCTGTGAACTTCACCTGAAAAAAGACTAAAATATTGACGCTGTACGGATGGTTCTACAACACATACTATGCATATCCTGAAAAATTATTGGGTGAGATAGAAATAAAATTCCAAAAGATATCAGGATAAATTCAAAAGTCAAAACGCCGGATTCTACATGCAAAAATCCTGAAGCGCCAGCATCAGATAACTTGCAAAACAGCAAACAAATCAGAATGAAAATACACACACGTCATAGTGAATTACAAGAAAATTGAGTATCTGTATAATATGAGAAGAAAATGTATTTTCTTATAATTGTACGTAATTAGGACCTTCATTATAACTATTGCTAGTGTTGACAACGCTTATAAAGCAGACCCATTATATATTACTGAATAATTAGCACAGGTTTGACATTTATTATCTATATTTCTTTATGGTGATCTAATCATTGATGCATATATATCCTGAAGACATACTTAGGATTTCCTTCAATTACAACACGTATGTTCTATGCAAAGTCGTAAAAGCAAAGCCACTTACAACAATAGTTTTCATTTTTTATCGTTACCCCCTACAGTGTTGTGATATATATTGAAAAAATGAAATTTAATGCATTGAATATTAACAAATCCATTATATTTAAGAAATAAAGAATCTATACAATACTTATTTCACAAAAATCAAATTAAAGCATTGCTCCTTAAACAAGAAATTGGATTTAAAACATTGGTGATTAATAGAAATTAGATATTATTACTGCAATATCAATGAGAAATGATATTGTTTGTAATTTACTAGACTATCAGTGCGTGACAGTGACAGTGTATACCGCATATCAGCAACTGCTTATTTCCTCTGCTTCCTGGCTTGTGCTTTCATATAAAGGTAAAAAAAAGACTAGTTTCGCAAACATATGTCATGGAAGAACACATCGAAAACTTTGTGTAGGGAATAGGATATTCTTTCTCCGATGTGGCCAAATAAAACGCATCTCCTCCTTCTACTATTGATAATCCACTGCCAGGGTTTAATCTTCGCTTGATGTAAGAAAATCGAACTTCGGTCCTGCTGTCATTATCTTCAACCACTTCTTCAACATTATATATTTAACATTCATTCATTCTCATTAACATTATTATTTATTTACTTATTCATTCATTCACTCGTTCATCAGTTTACATTATCAATCAATTCACTAAAAAAAAACTATCAATTGCAGAAAGTGGCTCATTAACCCACTTTAATTTAGGTCGTTTGAGAACCAACGACCTCGAAGGGGGATTACGAGCTGCAAGGAAAAATAATAATCCGGTCGTTTACTAGCAACTAAAGAAAGGTTCAAAAGAGAGTAGAAAATCGGATTGGTTTATTCAAAAATCGGTTTGTTAACTAGCAACTAAAAAAGA